ACAACAAAAAGCTTCAATCACGATCAACGGGATAAGCTTAAGGAAAGTAGTCTCTTTCACATATCTAGGCAGCATCATTTCAACTACAGGCGGCGGCACAGACAAGGATGTCAAAACCAGGCAATCATTAATCTGAAATCAGTGTGGAGATCTTCTGCACTCAGCATAAAGCATCAACAACATCCGGATTTTCAACACTAATGTCAGTCAAGTCAGTGCTTCTATATGATGGTTGAGAGACTTGGCGGGTTACGAAAGGCATTTCCAACAAACTGCAGATATTCATCAACAACTGCTTACGCTGGCTCGTTACTGAAGATCAGAAGACCAGAAAGAATAAGCAAAAAAGAATTCTGCCTGACTGGCAACGAACCAACCAAGAACTTATCGCTCAACGAATATGTAGAAGGAAGTGGAGATGGATTGGATTTGGCATACACTAAGAAGACCATTTGGAGACATCATGCACCAAGCACTCGAGTGGAAATTAAATGGGAAACGGCGAGTTGGGCATCCGAGGTGAGAATGACATGGAGGAGATCATGTGAGAAAGAAATGAGAGCTTGTGGGCAGTCGTGGTGACAGGTTCAAAAGATTGCAGAGAACAGAGTGGAATGGAGACGTGCTACAAATAATGATAATAATAGTAATAATAATAATAGTAAGTGGAAAGAACTAAGTTGGATAAAAACTGGGTAGATAAGTAACCATAGCGGCGTAATGAAAATAAAATCATTATGACATTAAATCGATTCAGTTAAAAAACGGGAAGTGGGTGTACTGAGAATACCAAGTTATTCATTGAGGATAAGCATACGAAGAAAACGATAATAGAGAAGAACAAATATTTTATTAATATTTACATGACAACAAACCAAAAATTTGGATAGTAATCATAGAAATAGGTCATAAGTATGTATACTAACGTCAGTACTACATAGTTAAGGATGATTAGAAGTCAAAAAAACAAACTAATTTTGACTACATTTGACGGTGATTACATCTACTTTCTGAAGATGAGGATGAGAATCATTTACCAATCAGTTTTTTTAATTTGAAGAATAAATCGTAAAGCTCATATTCTTGTTCACCATGTGAAATAATATCAACCGAAGAGAATTGGTGATTACCTCAACTTCTACTCTGCTCCACAATTTAAAGTATTCTTTGCCAAGTTTATGGAAAGGTAGTAAGTGAATATGAGAGATAAGTGACTTCACACCAGCAACTGAACTGATATAACCATATACATCATTGATACTCCTAGGTAATGTACACTACTTTTTAAAGTTTGCCTTAAGACTTACAACAGGGAAAACTTTCCCTAGATTTCTATGATAGGCATACTGATTGTAGAAAAACAAAAACAATTTGAATGAACTGTTAAGAAATCGATGTTTGTTTCTTTATATTTGTCAATATTGGAATGACATATCATGAATAACGAAGACAGGGATGAACTCTAGTTTACTGAAGGCAAAGAAATTAGTAACGCTTAGAAATGTTCTTTTTGAATGCATTATTTCAAGTTTGATGAGTTTCATTGAGACAGCCTATGATATTTTGAGTAGACATTGACAGTTACATATGGTATCGTTTTTCAATACAATAAATGATATTTGAAGCATTATTACAATCTATGTGATGCCCTCCCTATATCTTCTACTAGGTGTATTAGGACTAAACTTTTCACCATTTTTATTTAGCCTTTTCTGAACCAGGTTGATAAATGTTGCCTTATCCAAAGATGCACCTGCCTAGTGTTACGCCATATATAACTAGTTCCATATAAACAATTAAATTTATTTATGCAGAAGGAAGAGTTAAATTTAGGTAAGGTATCTTTTAGTTTCGAACTGAGCAATGGCCGATAACTGAATAGTATACAAAGTCATGTGTATAAAACGTCCTGTTGACTTCTGTAGATAAGCATTGTGATAGAATGTCATTTGCAGCTTCTCCCTTGAATTATACAAGCAGAAACAGAGGCTTCTTCCTCAATTTAATTCATTCTCTTTCAGGAACAATGTAGTTGTTGTTAGCTTTGATGTACTTATCCGGGTATTGTTTTTCATTAAGAATAGCACGGATACACAGTAGTTCTTCTACATATCACTTGGAACGAAACGGTCTTACTCAAAGTACCAGGTACCTGATTATATTACGTTTGTACTTCATCGACACGAAGCTGAAAAGTGTTGTCTATCATGCCTTAGAGGTCAGTTTTCTATATATACTTCTCAGTACATAGCCATTTTCTTTTCTTGACATTAGCACATGAAAAAAATACATTGAATTATTCATTTCAATTTCATGTATAAATCAACTGATGGGTGACAAGCTGCTGAAATGGTTCAGTATAGAATTATTATATATATGCGCTTATCAAAGGTTAAGATATATCTGTAAATATTGTATCCACTGGATAACCCATAGGAACTCGGTCAATTTGTTGATACAGAATAATGATAGACATTATTATTATTTGTCCTTTGACATCCTAGTGAAACATAGAGCTTCAGTAGCACGTGGCTATTTCACTCTGCAGTTCTCTGCAATCTTTATAACCTGGCTCCACGACTTCCCATAACCTCTCATTTCTTCCTCACACCATCACCAACACTCCGACTCCAAACTCATCGTTTTCTCCATGACTTCCACTCAACGGCCTGATGTGGCCTAGCGAGTGATGTTCCCGATCGGTCTCCTCAGTCTACCTCCAATCCAATCCACCTCCACTTGCTTCTTCTTCATATTTGTTCGTCGATGGGTTCCTGTTTCATTGGTTCGTTGCTGGCCGTAGTTCCTTCATGCGTATTCTTATTATTCTGGTCATCCATCTGATCTCCAGTATCGAGTGAGTGTATGCGGCAGCTGTTGATGATGTATGTCTGCAGTTTGTTGTAAATGCTTTTCATCACACGCCAAGTGTCTCAACCATCACATAGAAGCACTGACTTGACTGACGATGGTGCTGAAAATCGGGATGTTGTTGATGCTTTATGCTGAGTGTAGTGTAGTGTAGTAGATCTGCATGCTGGTTTCAGATTGATGGAGGAAGGCCTGTGTTGCTGTGTTTTCGATTCTGGTTGGTTTTGACATCCTCACCTGTACCGCTGTCACTGCTGCCTGTGGTTGAAACGTTGTTGTCCGGGTAGGTGGGTATGTGAAAGAGACAACTTTGTTTATGTTTCTCCCTTTGATGGTGCTTGTTGTTGTTGTTGTTGGTTGGGTATCTTCATCACCTCTGTCTTGTCTACGTTGACCTGGAGGAAGTCCCATCTTCGCTGCCCCGCCTCTTCTTCATCAAATTAAAGCTTTTTACTAGCCATTTAGTGATAGCATGGTAAGGAAGTTGGTCACTGTCTAGGATATGGCGAAGAAGCACGTCAAGTCTGCGTAATTTTGGTAGACCATTTATCCATGGAATGCTGCTGTCTATACATTCTAGATTTCCAGATAATATTAGTGAGATGCATCTGTCATCTTTCAGTTTCTTTAGTGAGATGATTAGGCCAGTTTCTGTTTAAATTGTGGACCAGAGTAGAAGTGGAGGTAATCACCAACTTTCTTCGGTTGATATGTTTCACGTGGGCTTTACGATTTATTCTCAACGAGAAACTGTTGAGGATATGCATCCTTCTTAAGGAAATCTCTAATCTCCTTCATTGCTTCCTCCTGACTACCAGATATCTGACTAAGCTTCTACTTTTTTATAATGATAAAATTATCGAAATGAATGCATCGAACACATGATTTGCCCCTTATAACGTAGACTGTTTTCTTTATTTTCTCATCAGCCTTTTTTGTCATAGTTACATCGAAGGAAGAATCTTTGCTTTATATTTCAGTTTTTAACGTTTTATATACTTTATTGAAACTGAACAGTGTTTTTCATGACATTCATCTGCATAAAGCTCGTAAACCGATAATAAAACTATAATCATCAAACGCATCAACCAATAAGAAATCAGTTTTAAGACAAACGCGTAAAAGTATGATTTACAAATACGTGTCACAAAGTGTCAGGTAAAATTTAAGAAAACTCCATTTACTAAATCAAATTTGAGCCTAAATTATGGAATACTATCAAAATGATGATGATATTAAAATGCACAGAGAAGCAATTGAAATCTGATGTATACTTGTAACCTTCTGTCCCTAGACTAAGTCGAATTGCGCGACCTCTGCTGACAGATGGGCCCCTATGCGGATGCCTCGATACTGATGTATATTTATGATGTTGTGTTGTTCTTGTGGACTAACACAATGAAATTCAGGTGGCACATTTCGTCTTATGTAAGACTTGTCAGCTGGATGTAGTACCTTCAGCCAATGAGCGTTGTTCCCACTCAGAACCATCGCTTTAAACACGAAGACGTTATCCACTAGGTCACTTGGTAATTTGCTCGAATCCATGGGGAGAAACATCACTGACTGCGAAGCAGCTACATCTAGCTGATGAATCTCAAATGGGATGAAACGCGCATCTCAGATTTCACTCCTAGTCATTAAGATCAGCAAAATATCTGACTGACTTTTTAAGTGACTTGAAATTACTCCAATAACTGCTGAGATAATCAATTACATTCCTTTATTTCATGAAAAAAGGTAACTTCCTAGCCGAAATGCGAGAACATGATTTGTTATTTCAGTAAGTGCTATACTGGCATTTAAAATCACTCGAATAAATAAAAACAAACTTGCGTGTACACTTGGGTATAGGAAAATGTCAAGCAAAGATTCATTTGTCGACATATCTAACTGTTAATTATTGCACTTCATATGTTTTAGCTTATTCCACTAACGTCAATTATATCAATGAAACAATGGCGGTAAGGATAACTATTAAGTAGAAAGTAGAATCTACACTATAGAACATGAATCTATACATTATAAGTGAGTTACTCTAACTCTCATTCAATAGTAAAGTCACAGCGTCTGATGAAATAATACACAATATTAGCTAGAGAGAAAGAAAAAAAAAAATTAAAACTTACATTTTACCATGAAATTTGTATAATTCAGCGCTTGGAATTTCTACTTCGATGGGATATAGAAAATTTAATGGTGAAAATTCACTCTGAAAATTAGATAGTCAAAACAAAAATCCAGTTGAAAGTTAAACAATAAACTTCTCATTACTATTTATTGACATACTTGTTATTCTCCGTTGTTTTGTTGGATCGAATTGTTCGACCTCTATTGGTATATGGGCTCCCTATGAGGATGCCTCGATATTGCCTGAATGCCAACTATGATAATTTGGTTGGTTGTGGCTAGCAGAAGAATCCAGGATGTGCGTTACGTCCTATTTGGGACTCATTGGTCAGTTGGATGTACCTGCATCCCAGTAATGTTGTTCCCACTGATACTCGAACCTCGTAGACATCGCTTCAAACGCTAAGGTGTTATCCACTATGCCACAGAGGAACGATAGCCACTTCTTGTACAACACATCATAGTTATTACTATTTATTGACATACTTGTTATTCTCCGTTGTCTCTTGTCTCAACAATACTGGGTGATGAATGAAGGTGAAATGAAAATTTAGACCGTCACCGGACTTGAACCAGCGACCATCGGGGTTTCTTTTTTGTTACCTATTCATATCTAACACAACCTTAGTACAATGTGGGAACTAAAAAAAAACGACGCCATATAGAATCATTCGACAACATTAAGAAAATATGAAAATGAGAGAGAAATAAAGAAAATAAATAAAGGAAAAGGATGGAAGCGAAAGTGGAAATAGAGAAGTAATCCCAGTGATAATATTCAAAGATGCATAGATCAATTGGGCTTTACTTTTCGATAAAAGAAGAAACAAGAAAGCTGCAAATTAATCGCCATTACTTTCGATTCTAAGCTATATCTAATATAATGTGAAGCCAGTGAGTTACATGATCTCAATGAGTTTCAATATGCCAACAAATCCTGACATAACATTAACTACTCTTCGAACCAAGGTCATGTGATATATTGACCAGTGTTTTCGTTGTTCCAACTCCTTCTGCTACTGGTTACCAATGAGTGGTATGAGAGCAAACGGAATAACATTCGTAACATCCTTCTAAGCGACTGGAAACTATTTTAAAATGACTTCGATAGCTGAGTGATTATCACAGTCTGACATCATAACTACTTGCATGGTACATTTATATAGTGCTAGCAATTCTACGGAGATACTGGTGGGTAAATAGGCAGAATTGACCGAAATCCTCAGCTCAGACATAAATCAGAACTGTCAACATTGACGCACTATACATTCTATCTTTCAAAGCCAGACTTACAATGTGATGGTGATAAAATTGACCTAGATCGGTGTGTGTCATCATGACTTTCGATACATAATTGAAAATACCATCAATCATACCTCCACATACACTTATACTATTACCTGAATACACGAACTTTTCAACGCTTTCTGAAGATTCATCTGCAACAGTGAGTGTAGACATAGTCTCCAGGTAATCATGCAAACGTTTTTTGTATGTAGTTGCTTCAAAGCATATAGCGTAATTAAGAACATTAACCACCAACTGATCGAGTGTAATTTGAGTGACCTGCACATCATTGCACAACAATATAAAGCTTTTCACATACTCAATATCGAAAACGTTTTTCCCAGCATCAGATTTATGCCACCACTAACACCACGCTTCTTATTCAGAACTGCCTCGTGTATTTTATTGATAATAGATAACTAGGAGTGGCGACATCTGTGTACTCATGAGATTTGCATTAGTAGTTAGTGAAAGAACAGAAAAATCCTACGGAGTTGTTCAAATGATATAATATAAATGAGTATACAAATATTTACATTGTTGTTTGCATGGAAGTAATCGTCAGAAAGCTTTGAACCTAGGTTTCATGATTGTTTGCACTCGTCAGCCACATATTTCTGTGTTAACTCTGTTGCCAATTTACTATAATTTTATCTGGTTTCTAATGACATGATCTCGAATATACCTGGCTAGTCTACCAAATTCAATTCACCTACTTGAAGAATTATGCTATCCTGAACTCCCAAACGTGTACAACAGAAACTGGAGAGGGATCAATCAAACGTTCTTGAACCAAGTTAGATAATAATGTCACCAATTAGATCATGAGTACAATGACTTTCAAAACAAATGAAGTCATACACTAATTAACATTTATCCGAGATTCATACTTCTAACTTTCCGGTTGATATAACAGTCAGTAAGGCGTATCTCTATAATCTAGACACAACCGTTCAGGATTCGAACTCTTATTATCCAGTGCTGTAGTTAGAAATATAACCAATGAACTACATATACAGCACTCTTTCGTCTACAATTTGAATTAGTACTTTTGGAATTTAAAACAATTAGTTCCCTTTATAAACTTCGACAAAACAATAAGAAGATGTAAATCTTCTGAACCGTGTAATGGTGTATTTGTGCAACACATTTCGAACTATCTGATCACACATACACGTACTTGTCATAGGTATTTATTATAAAAAACTCATGAAGATAAGGGGTGAGAAAATAAAAAGGGGTCAGGTAGGAAGGCTGACTTAAATGCCGAATAACAATGAAAATCAATAGATTTTGAGGGGGTTGTGGAGATTTGGAAATATTTCAAGTTGTTATTCATCGAAGACTGACATCAGTTGGAGGAACAAATCTCCACAACCCCCTCAAAATTTAATTGAACTAGTGCTCGTTGGTGACTAGCTTCGAGAAGTATTCCCGAAGTTCCAATGACAAGTCGTGACCGGTGGAGTCAAAGCCTGATGGCCACGAGGACAGATACTCAGCGTTGACATTGGGTGGCGGTTGCGCTATATATCGTGAGCTAACAGAAGTTAGAAATATGGAGCATTGGGTTCTGACCCAGTGGCTCAATGGTAACTCGCTGGTCGCGGAACCTGAAGGTCGCGGGTTCGATCCCTACTGGTGGTGTCGTGGGTGCGCACTGCTGAGGAGTCCCATACTAGGACGAAACAGGTGTCCAGTGCTCTCAGGTTTCCTTTGTCCCTCCAACTGATGTCAGTCTACGATGAATAACAACTTGAAATAATTCCAAAATAATAGTACATCGAATTTGGTTTTTCAATAGTTGAATTTACCAAGGAAGGTTTAATGTGACAACAAATTGTTTATGAATACATAAAGGTGGTTTCAACTTCTTAATAGCTAAGGCTTCAACAAATTTCAGGATCCCTCCCCAACATGTTTTGTAAATAGGTGTAAAGGAAGTAGCCACATCAATCTTGTGACCTGTCTCAACGATATGTTTAGCGATCGAACAACTTGGACGTCTGCTACCAATATTTATAGGTTCAGGTGATTTAATTTGCTTCTGAAGCTACTTTGGGATATGTTCCGAGGCCCTTACTTTCATGGATCTATTAGTCCTCCCTATGTATATGTCACCACACATACATTTGAATTGGTAGATACAATGGAATGTGACATTATCGTTCATATGCTGTAGGGGTTTGGGGGAATATAAGGGTTTTGTGGTTTCGAGTACTCGAACCCTGGTTGCATAGTAAATCCTTTTAATAGCAGTACTTTTGGGTCAAAATAAATGTCTACTCATCTTCTACCCATCTTCTAATAACGAGTTGATTCATTCAATTCTGTTTAAACAGATTGATAATGAATATCGTATTCCTGTATGATTATATCGGTTATCAAATTATCTTATTCATTCTAAATCGAATCAAATACAATAATGAATTGTTACTTACATTATCTGATAATCCAGTAATAACTTCTCGTTGTTTTAAATTAGATTCTCCATCCAAATTAGATGTTTCAATATGACAAATACCTGTACTATTCGATGTAGCTAACAATAAAATATCAGCTGGAATTATATCATTTGTATGTAAACGAATAAAATCGCCTGGATGTAAACTTTGCCATTCATCAATCACATATTGTTTTTCATGTCTATATAGAAATAAATAATAATTGGAAAATAAAGAAAGTAAAGTAACCAATCAACAAACAGTTTAGTATGCATTATCTAACTGATTTAGCATACATCCTTTTAGTAATCTAGAGAATAATCTCCATTGTATACTAATCGAAAGTATATCGGATCATTTAGCAAATAATTTGGATAGCTGGAACCAATATTTTAGCTTAGTGTTTATTTACATCCTAAGAAATTATTGTTCATTTGACTTGGAAGAAAAAAAAATCAAGATTTTCAACCAATCTGAGTCTCAACTCATTTCAAGGATGAACCTTATTCCAAACACTTTTACCTGGTTCATCTCATTCACAATAATAATTTTTATGATTAACAGAAATATGTTGGTAGCGATAGAATATAAGTCTCTGTTCTGCATCAGGAAGAGCTCAAAACGTTGTGTCAGACTGATATCATCAATACTGAGAAATAACAGATCAACATAGATGCAAGCGTAGAAGTACATTAATTTACTTACTTAAAATTCAACGGTAAGGTAGGAATTAGTTGGCTTAACTTCAGTAATACACACTCATCGGTTCTAAACCACGCCGTAATTCCACAATGGATGCTGAGGATAAATCCATAACTTGCTTGTATTCCCTACTTTCAACAACCGTACCGAAGAACCATACAAAATGTATCACTGCACCCCAAATTCAATCTACCATTGGCTAGCCGACAATGCCACATACCACGTGATTCACTAATCAATGGAGAGCTCAGTGATGCCTTTGAAGTGAAGACAGGTGTAAGACAAGGCTGCCGCCTGGATTACGCAATAAACTGTGAGGAGCGAGAAGATGGGCATACAACGGCTGGAGCGATGAAACGACCCAAAGAGAAGGTTTGGACTTCGCCGATGATGATTTATGTCTAACGTCTTGTCACATAAACTCGAAGATGTACAGGAGAAAACTAAAAAGTTGGCAAAAGAGGCAGAGCAGCGAAGAGAGGACTTCACGTGAACGTAGAGAAGACAGAGGTGATGAAGATACCCAACTAACAACAACAAGTTGTAATCACCATCAACGATAGAAATCTAAAGGAAATCTTCTCTTTCACCTACCCACCTACCTAGGCAGCATCGTGTCAATTACAGGTGGCACAGATCAGGACATCAAAGCCAGGATCGGAAAGACAGAAAGACAGGCATTCCTTCATTAATGTGAAATCAGTGTGCAGATCTACTGCACTTCGCACAAAATAAGGAACATGATCCATTTTTCAACACTAATGTAGGTCAGATTAGTGCTTCTATGTGGTTCAGAGAGTTGGCGCGTCACGAAAAGCATTTACAACAAGCTGCAGACATACATCATCAACAGCTCCCACCTACCCTCACTTGATACTGAAGATCAGATAGATGGCCAGAATAATAAGAATAAGCAAGAGGGAACTCTGATTCGGTAACGAAGCAACCAACAACCAATCGCTCAACAAATATGTAGAAGGAGAAAGTGGAGATGGATTGGATTCAACTGAGAAGACCATCCGGCAACATCACGCATCAGGCCAGGTGAGGCCATCGAGTGGAACCAAAATGGAAAACGACGAGTTGGACGTCCCAGCTGAGGGTGACATGGAGGAGGTCATGTGAGGAATAAATGAAAACTTCTGGGTAGTCATAGAGCCAGGTTAGGAAGACTGCAGAGAAGAGAGTGAAATGGAGACGTGCTACTGAAGCCCCTTGTTCCCGAACCCAAGGGAGAAACAGTAATCATAAAAAATACCAGTTGGCATTACAGGCAGAGATAGACTTGCTGTAACAATGGTTTCTATACATTAAATTGTTTGCTAAACATCTTAAAGCAGAATGTGTATTGTGTTCAAGCTGAAACAGAACCTACCCGTTACTAATAGGCAATTTAAAAGCTGACTGTTTGGTAGCATTCGCTTTCATGCTCAATGTAAATTGTTATCTATCCGTGAAGATTTACTAAGATTCAACAATGTAGTACACAATAATTGGTGTTAAGTTTTAATTTGGTCAGTGGCGCATATGTTCAAATACAACCCTACAGTGTTCATTAATGATTAGCTTCCAGAGAGGTGATTCCCAAAGTTCTAATCAGAAGTCATGAACGATAGAGTCAACTAACTCAGACGAGAATGGATCCATGTCGCGATATATCGTCAACTGACAGAAGTAGGAAACAAGGATCACTGAATTATGACCCAGTGACTCAATGGTAATGTGTTGAAGGCGGAACCTGATGGTTGTGGGTTTGATCCCTGATGCGGTCATGAGTGCGCACTGCTAAGGTGCCACACACTTGGCTGAAACAGCTGTCCAGTGCTCCGAGGTTTCCAACATTCCTCCAACTGATATCAGTCGTTGATGAATAGCAACCCGAAAATCTTAGTTATAACAATGATAATAATAATTACATTTTGAGGGAATTGTGGAGATTTGGGATTATTTCAAGTTGTTATTCATCGTAGACTGACATCAGTTGGAGGAACAAAGGAAACCTGCGACCACTGGACACCTGTTTCGTCCTAGTATGGGACTTCTCAGCAGTGCGCACCCACGACCCCACCAGTAGGGATTGAACCCGCGACCTTCAGGTTCCGACCTTTGTTCCTCCAACTGATGTCAGTCTACGACGAATAACAACTTGAAATAATTCCAAATCTCCACAACTCCCTCAAAACTTAACGGAACTGGTGCTCATTGGTGACTAGCTTCGAGAAGTATTCCCGAAGTTCCAATGACAAGTCGTGACCGGTGGAGTCAAAGCCTGATGGCCACGAGGACAGATACTCAGCGTTGACATTGGGTGGCGGTTGCGCTATATATCGTGAGCTAACAGAAGTTAGAAATATGGAGCATTGGATTCTGACCCAGTGGCTCAATGGTAACTCGCTGGCCGCAGAACCTGAAGGTCGCGGGTTCGATCCCTACTGGTGGTGTCGTGGGTGCGCACTGCTGAGGAGTCCCATACTAGGACGAAACAGGTGTCCAGTGCTCTCAGGTTTCCTTTGTTCCTCTAACTGATGTCAGTCTACGATGAATAACAACTTCAAATAATAATTACCTTTATTTCTAAAGTTCTGGCTCTGTCTTAGAAGCAATAACTTTTTCAGTGATTATTACAATAAAACAAAAACTTAGTAAAGTACACAAATTTTTTTTAACGTTTTATTTACTATTTATTTCAAACCTTAAGGTCATCTGCACTAACCATAGTGGCCTCAATCCTTAATGTCATAATATTATCCTAAGTTGTATAATGATGATTATAAGGATAGGTGGTATCAATGAACAGGTCATTGACGTCTTATTAACAAACCGTACGGATTATAATATAAACATGCAAAACAATTGAAGAAAACAGACAGAGATAGACAATACTTTTCAGGTCATAAGTATTGTGTACTAACTATGAGGCATAATGTCTTAAAGTTAAACAATCCACTTATAATAACACTAATGAGTATCTTGTTTACTAAAATGGATTATTTCTTCTTATTGTTATTGTTGTTTCGATTTAATCCACAGATTTTTTTTCATGCCTATAACTTACTTACTCACTAATTTTTCATTGGTCAGTTAACTCATCATTAGATCATTGTTTGTTTGTTTACTTTTGTAAATAATAATGTGTAACTAGCCAAAGTAATGAGAAAAATATAAACAAGTAGACAATAAATTCCATTAAGTAAAAAGAAAGGAAATTCATTAAAACAAAAGAAAGAAAGACCATAGTATTTATTGAATAATTATAACAATAGACACTGATTAATTCGGTTCAATCAATCATGGAATAATACAAGCAATAACACTAAATCTGTAATCTATTTCATTTTTCTTAACATAAATTCAAGTGTTGTCATAATAAATTTTGGTTGGTCAACGTAAGAAACTACCTTAAATGAACGTAGAGAAGACAAAGGTGATGAAGATACCCAACCAACCAACAACAAGCACCAATCACCATCAACGGGAGAAATCTGAAAGAAGAAATTGTCTCTTTCACCTACCTAACCATCTACTTTGACAGCATCGTTTCAACTAAAGGCGTCGGTAGCACAGATGAGGGTGTCAAAGTCAAGATCAGAAAGACAGTAAGACAGGTCTTCCTCCATTAATGTGAAATCAGTGTGGAGATCTACTGAATCCAGGGATAGAGAACAAGATCCGGATTCTCAACACTAATTCAGTCAAGTCAATGCTTCTATGTGGTTCAGAAACTTAGCGCGTCGCAAAAAGCATTTACAACAAACTGTAGACAAACATCATCAACAGCTCCCGCCTACACTCACTCAATTCTCAAGATCAGATGGATGGTCAGAATAGTAAGAATAAGTAACAAGGAACTTTGACCTGACAATGAACCAACCAACCAACCAAGAACCTATCGCCCAACAAATATGCAGAAGAAACTGGAGATAGATTGGATTGGACATAGACTGAGAAGATTGTTTGAGGACATCACGCGCTAGGCCAGTCCAGGCCCTCGAGTGGAACACAAATGGGAAACGAGTTCGGTGTCAAAGGCTGACATACAGGAGATCGGATGAGGAAGAAAGGTAACGGGCAGTCGTGGAGCCAGGTTCAAAAGACTGCAGAGAAGAGAGGCAAATGGAGACGTGCTACTGAAGCCCTATGTTCTACTAGGAACTCAAGAAACAAATAACAATAACGTAAGAAACTGCATCAAAATGAAAGTAACCAAAGAAATAATCTTTTTTTTAGGGTAATATTCATCATGGACTGACGTCAGTTGAAGAACCATTGAAAACCTGACAGGACTGGATATTTCTTTCGTCTTAGTGTGGGAATCCTTAGCAGTACGCACCTATAAACGCGCCAGGAAACGAACTCAGGATACTTAGATTTCACAGAGAAAGCTTTAACCATTTAGCCATTGGATTGAAGTTGAATGGTCCAGAGAGGTCTAATTTTGTTATCTCTGGATATTGTGCAACTATCACCCAAGTTCTTCAGTTGGCATTTGCTTCACTACCG